CGCTGCGGTTAAGTAGGGCTCGCGGGCCCCTCTGCTGGGCGAGCCGGCCCGGTGCATCCCCGCCCCGGGGCCGCCTCCCGCCCGGCCGGGACCGACCCGCCCCGCCCCGCCGCCTCCAGGGCAGGGCTGCAGGCATGGAGATGCGGGAGAGATTCAAATGCAGATGGACATGTTGAATCCCATGTCTACAGGAGTCCGGTGGGGCTTTCAAATGTGACAGTCGTGCGCATTCGCCCGCCTGCTGTAAAGGCTGCGCACCAGACACCGGAGCTGGTGCACCCAGCACGCGGGCGCGCTGGCATCGTGCGTCCCGGGCACGTTCACCTGACAGAGCCCTCCAGCAATTGATTCAGCACTGGCAACTCTCTGCAGGGGACACGGGTGCCCTCGTGCCCCTCTTTGACCGGCTGCACCTAAAGCTTGAACGCACCTACCTGGCCCTGGCAGCTTCGTGCCACTGCTGCTCACCCCTCTCTCTCCTTTCTCATGCCCCTCCTGCCATGCTGCAGGTGCTCCTGCTGTTTCGCAGCCTGGCAGGTTGCATTTTCAGGCAGTCAGAGAGAAATGGTCTGGGAGGAACCTCCCGACTTCACCTCCAGCCCAACCTACATATATGTACATTATACGTTACATTAAAATGTAACATCACTATATATACACATATATGTATATATATATATATATATACACATATACACACATACATACATAGTGATGTTACATTTTAATCATGGAAAAATGTGGATTTGGGGTTAGTTTTTTTTAAACCAAAAAGTGGGGATTTTTTAAAATCAAAGAAAATTAGGATTCCTGGAGATGATACACCTGGCACAGGTGGAAGGGGTCAGACTGAAGCCTGCAGCCCAGAGACCCCTGCTGACCTGCTCTGAGATGCATCTGCTAAGGTGCCCGCTAAGGCACCAGTGCAAAGGCAAGAGCAGTTTGCAGGGGAGCTCGGTGATGCAGACACCTGTTTTCTAAGCACAAGGCTGAGAAAAAGCAGTTCAGCTCACCTCCACAGATCGGCTGGGGGGGGGTGCTGATCAGTGTTAGCCTCAGAGCAGTGCCCTCGAGTCAAAAGGACCCACCTTTGGACCCACCAGTCCATTACCCTTAGACCCACCAGTCTCTACCAGAGCTACACATCCTCTGACCAGCATACAGGGAACAGAGGCATGTGGAGGAACACGAGAGCTGCTAGTCAGGCTGGTGGGGGGCATCATCCAGCTTGAAGCTGATTGAGGACCGGAGACCCACAGGGGTTATGTTGTTCACTTTTCGGCTCTTTCTCCGTTGGCCATAGGACCCACTCAGCTCCTGTCTAGGCTGCAGGGATCCCTTACGTGTGTCCAACCACAGCTGTGCTAGTGGGAGCTCTCATAGCCCAGTGGGGATAATGTACTGGGCCCCAGGGAACAGCAAAGAGAAGGTTAGTGTGGGCCATGAATGATTCAGGCCCCCTGAGCTCTTATGAACAGGCCTGGGGACCCAGCCTCCCTATCTGGAGTCCAGCCCAGGGAACCGCCAGGGTGGGTGCCCCAGAGCTCGAGGGCGCTGGCTGGGAGGTACGGGAGGCCAGGTGAGGTGAACTCAGGGAGGGCCGCCTCATAGACCCACAGCAGGGCACTGCAGCAAGATTTCTACTTCACTTGCCGAGAACTGAAACATAAGATGGGAAGGAGAGGCCAGCACAGAGCTATGCAGTGTGCTTGGGCCAGGGTGGAGGGTGCATTGTCATGGCAGGAGTGGGGCAGCCAGAAGGCACAGAGGTACCCCAGTAGAGCTGGGGAAATGTGGGGACGGGAGGTGGATCTTGTCCAGCAGCTCTCTGGTCAGTCTCCAAGGCTGGCCCTGGCCTGGGCTGTGCGCTCCAGTCCCCTCCCATCCCAGTATTTTCTTTTAAAAAAGCAAAGAAAGGCAGCAGAACAATAGAGCTGGGTGAGGCCTCTGGCCTGGCCCATGGCAGGAGAAGCCAAGGCTCTGAGTCACCAGCTGGGAGCCCACACCCCTCGGAGGAGGTGCGACTTGCCCTTGCAGGCAGGGCTGGGGGGCCATAACCCTGCCAAGCAAGTGCTCCTACATCCCTGCTCCAAGCTCCTTTTCCCTGTGCCACCCCCACCCCCACCTCCAGCAAAGGTGCTGAGTATGTGGGGGCCCGAGGGCCCTGGCCCCCCTTGGGAAGAGGGCTATCACCTAAAACACATCACACTTTCCACATGTCCATCATCTTAGCCCCCTCCCCAGCAAAAATAAAAGTTGGCGCCTATGATCCCCAGTACTCCTGGAGACCTACCAGAGACCCCGCTCTGCCTTTCAAACCTGAGCTACATGCTGACAGCTGCTTCCGTTCATGCCAGCACCCCAGGGTTTAATAGTATTGTAGGTAGAGCCCTGATGCTCTGAAGCCTGAGCCTGGGGGTCAGGAGACCCTCGCTGCTGCAGTGCTACTACCAACCCCTCTACCATGCACCTGCCACTAAGCATTTATCCTCACATGCCCTCACACTGGACCCAGGTCTCCAGGGTCCCAAGCCACCAGCCTGGCCCATAGGCCTCCTGTGACCCTGTTAGGTGGAGCTCAGGAGGGTCGAGCTCCCGCTGGTGACTTGCAAGAAGCATGGGGTGAGAAAGGGAAGAGGCCTGCCTGACCCCTAGCTGGAGCTGGGACTCCAGGTCACAGAGTAGGGTACTGTCACCCTAGTCAGGCAGAGCTTTGGGAGCCTTCCTGGGGACAGCCGCAGTAGGGGTGAACTGTCCTCTTCCCCACTGCACAACCCATCCACTACTAGAAAGCCGATTGTGATCTATGTGTTATATTAAGATTTTTAAAATGAATACAGCTACACATGGCATCAGCTGAGACAACAGGTCTGCAGAGAGGCAGGGAAGGAGCAAGAATGACAGCGTCTTCTGTGCCGGGCATGTGGCAATAGCTTGACATTTAGATCAACAACGGAGAGCTTGTGCACGGATTGAAGATGCCCAGTTGTTCTCCTAGGGACAACAGTGAAGGGAACAGGCCAAGTACATCACTGCCAGACAGAGCCCCGCAGCTCGCTCCAGCAGTTGGACTTGTAGGTTTACATGAGTACATGGCTCCCACTGGGAAGGGCACCAGTGCCCATTTGAATGAACTTAAAAGCTAAGCACCTCTGAGGGCTCAATGCTGCTCCTCCTGACAGCGACGGGACTCAGGAGCGATGCCAATGCAAAACCAACCCAACGGAGAGCACAAAAGGGGCCTTCTCCACAACTGGCCTCACTCTGGTTTGGTGAAGGGAGAACATAGTGAGGGGAGAACCAGCAACTTTAGCCACCTGCAGCTGCTCCAGGCCCAGGGAAAACTCCTGTTTTGCCCCCACCCCAGTGCCCATTAACCTTCCCTTTCCTGGAGCAGACAGGTTGCAGATTTCCCTTTGGAGGAACCCTACTGAGAGGAGCTCATAGCCCCATGCCCAAAGCCAGTGCAGGACACTACCCATAGTGACCAGCTTCTGGCACACATGGGAAGGCCTCGTGTGCAGGAGAAACTGGGAGGGCACCATTTTTTATCCCTAATTTTGCGTGTATCCAATCCTCTCCATGCACCGTGCTCCATGCTTGCTGGAGGAAGGCAGGTCAAAGCAGCGCACCTGGCTGGGAGGTACATGATGGTCCTCTGCTCCCCACACACTCATACAGTTCCATGTCCTGCATAAAGAAGCTTCAGCTTTGCAAGTTGCAGTTCCAGGGGGCATGGGGAGAAGAGTGGGGCTGTGCTTGTCATCCCAGCGTGCTCCGCGAAAGGAAGGACCAGACACCTTGACCGTGACATGTTATTGGATGGGAAGCTGGGGCAAGGAGCAGAGGAGAAGTGCAAGGTGCCCCTGGGAGAGCCAGCGGGATGCTCTTGGCTCTGAAGTTCCTGGTGAGGGTGGGGGCATGCACGGGGCCAGGGCCTGCTCTCTGCTCACTGCCAGCTGGCGCAGCCCTCAGGCAGGCTCTGCAGGATGGCCTCCAAGTTCTGCTTGTCGGCAAGGACTTCCGCCAGGTCGCTCTCGAAAGCCTCGATCTGCTGCTGCTGCTGCTCCGCCTCCCGCTGCAGGTGGCTCAGCTTCTTTGCTAGGGAGCCGGGCTCGGCAAGGCGCAGCCGGAGATGGGCCAGCTGCAGGCGGCTGGCATTGAGCATGGCCTCCATGGGGGCTGCCACATCTGGGGGAGGAGGAGAGGGCAGCAGTGAGGGAGGGGTGGAGCCAGGGACATCCCAGTTGGAGTCAGGTGAAAGCAGCCTTACACCTGCCTGGGGCCCATACATCAGATGACTGATTCAAGAGGGGGAGAAAAAGGTTGGAGCATTCATTGCACAGAATAAAACTGAGACTGAAATGGAGTTGCAGTTCCTTGTCTGACGCTGCCTCTCTCTCCAGGCTGTGCTACCTGTGGCAGATAGCAGGGAAGCGACCCACAGCAGACAGCCGAGCCAGCCAGAGCAGTGCCCCTGCTCCAGTGGGGCTCAAAGGACTAAGAGCACCCCCAAGGGCAGGCAGGTGAACTACGATTGACGTTTCACAGCACAGCTGTACAGCTCACAGGCCTTTATCACCATGGATTTGCTGTCAGCTTACTTAGAGAGGGCAGGCAGGCAGGCTGCAGGGAGGAAGAACGGATCCCAGCTGAATGACTCCGTTGCCCTGGCCCTGCAGAGCTCACACACTGCACAGGGAAGACAGGTCCAGGGGGTGGTGGGGAAGGGACACCCCAGAAAGGGCAGGCACCTGCAGCGGGGGTTCAGTGATCGCCGGGGGTTAGTGGTACTAGGGAGATGTAAGTCGGGGCAGGGGAGAAGGAACAAGCTTGCATTAAAATCATCACAGAACAACTTGGGTTTCCCACCCTGCATTCCTGGCTTCCCAAGACCCTGACTCATTGCTGGCTGCCTTCTCTGAGGCT